TGAAGTTGGACGCTTAACTGACTGAGCCACCCAGGCGCCCCAGACAGAGTTGCTGTTGAGAAGTACAATGCCATTCTAATTCTTGAATTCAAACTTTTTTTGAAATCTGTTCCTTTTCTCCCTGGAAGCTTTTAGGATCTTTTGACCTCAGTATCCTTGAAATTTTATGATGGGTGATGAATTTGGGTCTATTTTATTTTATTTTATTTTATTTTATTTTTGATGTAGGTCTATTTTAACTCACTGTGCTGGGCACATGGTGAGCCTTTCTCCTTTCCCCCTTAATTAAAAAAATGTTTGTGAAATATAACACTTATGCAGAAAAGTGCATATTCCATTAATTCCTAAATAATGCAGTTTAATGAACTATTTGTAAAGGAAATATGCATGTAACTGGTACCCATAAAAGAAACAGAACATTCAGCAGTCCTTTTTAACCTGAGTGTCAAATTCTCTACTTTTCTCCAGTTAGGTCTTTGATAATTTCCTCCCCTTTCCTGTTTTGTCTCTTCTCTTTAGTCCAATGTTGAACCTCCTGGACTGAAACTCTGATTTTCTTTATCTTTCCTATTTTTAAATTATTTATTATTATTATTATTATTATTGTTGTTGTTGTTGTTGTTGTTATTATTTTTAGGAAGATGGGGAGGGACAAAGAGGGAGAATCTCAAGCAGGTTCCATGCTTAGTATGGAGCCCAACATGGGGCTCGATCCCACGACCACAAGATCATGACCTGAGCTGAAATCAAGTGTCAGATGCTTAACTGACTGAGCCACCCAGGTGCCCCTATCTTTTCTATTTTTAATATCTTTGTCTATTTCTATTTTCTGAGAGATTTCAACTATACTGTTTTTGCTATCATATTTTGAGCATATTTTAATTTTTGGTATATTCTGAATATTTTCAAAATTTTTAAGTCTCAAAATATTCCTTTTTATGTAGCATCCTGTTGTCATTTCACTATGCAATACCATCTCTTATCCCTTTGAGAATGTAAATGAATTTTTTTTCTTCTGTGAGGAATCTGTACTGATCACTTGTTTTGGTTTCTATCATGGATTTGAGAAGCTTTATTCGAGTACGTATATGGAGAGCTTTGCTCATATTTAAGGTCCGGTTACTAAAAAGTTGATTGGAAACTCTGTTACTGTAGTCATTACTACAGAGTGATTTGGTCAGCTATTTCCTTGGGAAACACTGAATATTGGTTTAAGTCTTTGGGACCCAACTGGGGGAAAGAAAGCTATGCATGTGTATAAGAAGAGGGGTCATCTTATTGCTTATATTTTTTTACTTTATATCCCTTCTATTCAGCAAATCCTTGCCCGTAACAGTGCCTATTGTCTCCTTGTCCAGAGACTCCCTATTTTTTTTTAAAGTCTTATATATTTAAGTAATCTTTACGCCCAATGTGGGTCTCAAACTCATGACCCCTGAGATCAAGAGTTGCCCACTCCACCGACTGAGCCAGCCAGGTGCCCCCCATGACCCTCTATTTAACTCTTCTAGAGAATAAATCTTCTGTTGGGGAGGAGGAGGGACAGTCTCCTAACTGTGCAGCATTGGGTAGTGTGCTGTGAGGGTCTCTCTCTTTTTCAAGATTTTCAGTCCATCATCCTATTTTGAGTCCCATCTCATCTCCACTTCTGATGTACTGGGTCCCACTACATCTTGAGTCTTTTGTGGGTTCTATGATGTAAATGGACTGTGTCTTGGTTCTCCCTGTTGCTGACTTCGATTCAGCTCAGTGTTATTATTTGTCCATATTTTTTCCAGCTTCCAAGTTGTTGCTCTTGTGTTCTCTCTCGTTCTCATTATATATTCTTTGCCTATTCGTTTCTCTTTTGTTTGCTTTTATATATTGTTTCAGAGAAGGTTTTCAGTAGGAATACATTATGTGTATTGGAAATAATTTCCATATTTTTCTTTCTTTTTGGTACCTTTTGCTGCTCAGAGATTCTCATTTTTGTAGTCAAAAGTGTCAAATCACTGCTTTATGGCTTTGGGGTTTTAAACCATATTTATAAAGACCATCTTCATCCTAAGATATTCTATATTTTTTTCTAGTATTTTATTTTTAAAATATTTAAATCTTTAAGCAGTTTTGGATTTTTAGTATCTTGTATTCATTTTGGAAAGCCAATTGTCCTACATTATTTATAGAGTGGCCATTCCTTTTCCTACCAATTTGAAATATGATTTTTATTATTTAATAAAATGCAGGATATTTATGGGTATATTTCTGGACTGTATTCTGAACTGTGGGCCTATTTTCTATTCCTATGCTATGATTTTTTTTTGTCATCAACTTTATTTTTATTTATTTTTAATTTACATCCAAGTTTGCATATAGTGCAATAATGATTTCAGGAATAGAATCCAGTGATTCATCCCCTACCTATAATAGCCAGTGTTCATTCCAACAAGTGCCCTCCTTAATGCCCCTTGCCCATTTAGTCTTTCCCTCCACCCACAACCCCTCTGGCAACCCTCGGTTTTTTTTTCTGAATTTAAGTCTTTTATGTTTTGTCTCCCTTCCTGTTTTTATATTATTTTTGCTTCCCTTCCCTTATGTTCATCTATTTTGTATCTTAAATTCCACATATGAGTGAAGTCATATATTTGTCTTTCTCTAATTTCACTTAGCATAATACCCTCTAGTTTCATCCATGTTGTTGCAAATGGCAAGATTTCATTGTTTTTGATTGCCAAGTAATATTCCATTGTGTGTGTGTGTGTG